CCCCCCCCCAAAACAAAAAGTGCACACGTCCGAGCGATGCCAAGACCCCGCTTCCCTCCGTCGCCCGCGTCCGGCGCTCGAGCTGGGCGTGCTCCTCGCCTTCGGCGCCTCTGGGGCCCGTCCTCTGGCCAGGGGGCCATCGCAAACGGACCCGGGGCGAAGAACCGGCCTGGGGAAAGCCTACACCGCTTCGTCCGAAGCCGTTTCTCATCGGCACAAGTTCACCCGAGACGGATTTATCCAGACGGACTCGTCTGGACAGACGTATTACTCCGAAGACGGGCTCACCCGAAGACGAATTCACCCAGAGACGAGACTATCCGCAAACAGGGTCATCCGGACGAATTTCTCCGGACAACCTCATCCGGACGAGTTCGTCCGGAGGAACGATCTTCCGGATGAGCTCGTCGCGGGAGAAATCGTGCTGGATGCATTGGTCGTCCTCCCCGGGGCAGGGGTCAGGACCTTTGGAGCCGCGCACTGATCGGCTACACGTAAGAATGACTCTGGGCAAGAGTGACCTCTAGTGCGCGGCTTTCGGGGGCCGCAAGAAGGACCATATCCACGCGTGCCGGCCAGTGCTGGGAGGACCCCTGTGAGCCCGCACCAAATTCGGTGGCAACTCATGGGAGCCTCCCATGCCATCTTGTCGGCTCTTGCGAATCGACGCTAATCGACGCCTCACCGCCGGTTAATCGACGCCAGCCAACGCCAAATCGGCGCCAGCCCATCGGCTCCCAGACACCAATCGACGCGAAAGACGGAATCAAGAGGGTATGCCAGGTTCCCATGATCAGAGGCCTCCTAGGTGGGGTCGGAGCAGATGGGGTCGGGGGATCGTGCCGCATCGCGGAGCATCGGCGATGCATCGGCGATGCCCTGGCGCCGCATCGTCGACGTGGGCGATGCATCGGCGACGTCGACGTGAAGCAGGTCGAGCTCCACATCGAGCCCCATCGCCGATGCATCGGCGGTTCGGCGCGATCCTCTGACCACATCCACTCGGACCCCATCTGGGAGGCCTATAGAGATTTGCGACCGGGTCACCAGAGGCCGCTCTGGCGAAGGGCTGCTCCCGCTTGCAGCCGAAGTGGCAAGACTGCAGCGACGGATGTCCGCGTCTCCGGGCGGCGCTGGCCGTCCTCTCGCCCCCTCCCCCCCCCCGCACGGGTTCTGTCACTGGGGCGGGCTGCTGGGGCTCTGGAGAGGGCAGGGGCGGCGCTGGCCGTCCTCTCGCCCCCTCCCCCCCCCCCGCACGGGTTCTGTCACTGGGGCGGGCTGCTGGGGCTCTGGAGAGGGCAGGGGCAGCGACCCCATCGGCCAGGGATCCCTCGGGGATCTCCGGGCTCGGGGGCTGTCCACGAGGGGGGGGGCACGCAAGAAAAGGGGGGAGTCGCAAATCATGGCCTGCGGCACGTGCGCGGCCCGGGGTGGCCAGAGGGGCGTGGCAGACCAGGAAGCGGCGCCACCATGACATCCGGGGAGATCTCATGGCCCTGGCCATATCCACGAGGGGGGCCAGGGGGGGCCACGGGGCGTAGCAGACCAGGAAGCGGCGCCACCATGACGTCCGGGGAGATGTCATGGCCCCGGCCACATCCACGCCCTCCGTGCCACCACCCCCGCCTTGGCCGCTCCCGATGAGACCCCGCGGCCGTTCCAGGGCGCTCCGGAAGCGGGCGCTGCTCCGTGGGGGGGGGGCGATGACTGGGGGGGAGAAAGCGTGGGGTTCGTTCCCCCTTTGGGGCCCTACACCCTGCGAAATGCTTAAGAAATCATGGGTTAAGAAATTCAGAGTCTCAGAATTTGAATAAAACCCGAAATTTCTACCAAATTTTTAGGATTCACATTGAAACAATAAGAATAATCGAGACTCTGGCCGAAACCTTACGTTTTCTTAAGCATCGCCTAGGGTGTAGGGCACCCCTTTGGGGCACTAGAGGTGTACCTTTCTTCCCCCCCCGATTCATCGCCCCCCCGCTGCCCGGCTGCGAGCGAGGGGGGAAGTGAGAAGGAAGACGCCTGATCGGAAGGCGGCGGGGCTTCTCAGAAGACCTGTGGCCTTCTGAGAACTGTTCTGCGTCTCCGGGGAAGGCTTACAGAAAACTTCTCGTCAGAAAGCCGGAGGACTTCTGAGCCGTCTGAAAAGGCCCGCCCCCTCACGTTCACTGCAATGTGTAAACTTCAACTTCGACTGACGATGCTTGTCTGGCAACGCCGCGCAAAAACTACCGCCGCGCCTCCTCTGGCACCGTAGCCAGACGAGGAGCCCCTGGGGCCTGTGAGCGCTGCGCCTGCCAATCCATCGAGGCTGCGGACTGCTACTGCTTCCCCCTTGGGCTCGCCTCCGGATTCCGCAACGTGGGGGGCCCAAACATATACACCACCACCACCTTCCTCCCCTCCCTCCCTCTCGCTGGAAAGAGGAGAGAGGAGGAATCGACGTGGTGGTGGTGTATGTTCTTTGGGCCCCCACAACGCTCGACCGTGGCCGTCCCAGCGCGCTCCCGGAACGCTCACGACAGCCTCCCGGAACGCTCTGGCGCGACAGCGTCCCGGTCCCGGCTCCGCCCGACCCTGGAAAGGGCGCCCTCCGTCCGCCCACGGGGGCAGGCTTCGCGACTTCCCCGTGCGGCTTGGAGGGTTCTTGGCGTTCTCGCCCGTGCCGGGTTTCCTTCCCATCTGGACGCCTGGAGTGGGGTCCGGGGCAATGGGCACGATATGCCCGACAACAAGCGTTGTCCCAAACCGACAGAGGCCGCTGTTGGGCAGGTGGCCTCCTGACCGAAGGCCACCTGTCCAACACAAGGGCCCTCTGCATCAAACGGGCAACGTCAGCGGCGACGCCGAGAACGAACCCTGTTCAGAATGAACAGGGGCTGCCGTTGGACTCTCTACCCATTGCTTCCGTATCTATTTCGCCCCCCCGATCCAGCGATCCAACGCGGCCCACACGAACGAACGAACCACCACAACGGACAGATGTCTGGGCCTAGCCAAGACCAGGTGGGGGAGGCCATGGCCTCTTGGATCTGGCACATAGGAAATTACCCTGGCGACGTACCCAACCCCTGCGCAATGCGGGGCAGGAGTAGCTTGGGAGACTTGACGAGAAATCGGCGACGTGGCATGGACGCATATACTTCTGCGAGCGGCATTCGGGAGGTTCGCAGGTCCCCAATCAAAGAAAAAACGATGAGTAACTAAGTGCACCCCTGAGTCACTAACGAAGACGCAAGGTCCAAAAGGAGACTGTGGGCAAAAGGCTTGAAACGTCGGCGGGGCAGCAACTTACTCCGCTGAACCCACCAGCAGTCTTCGAAAGTGGCGAGCCCACCAGCAGCCCTCGAAAGTGGCGACAATTTCGCAGATCGCAGCCCCCCAGGGACGGCGAGGTCTCGCTCAGGTCCGCGCGGTGCCTCACTCCGCTGGACCACCAGCAGCCCTCGAAAGTGGCGACAATTTCGCAGATCGCAGCCCCCCAGGAACGGCGAGGTATCGCTCAGGTCCGCGCGATGCGTCACCCCGCTGGACCCCCCAGCAGCCCTCGAAAGTGGCGACAGGTTCGCAGATCGCAGCCCCCCAGGGACGGCGAGGTCTCGTTCAGGTCCGCGCGGTGCGTCACTCCGCTGGACCACCAGCAGCCCTCGAAAGTGGCGACAGGTTCGCAGATCGCAGCCCCCCCAGGGACGGCGAGGTATCGCTCAGGTCCGCGCGATGCGTCACCCCGCTGGACCCCCCAGCAGCCCTCGAAAGTGGCGACAGTTTCACAGATCGCAGCCCCCCAAGGACGGCGAGGTCTCGCTCAGGTCCGCGCGGTGCCTCACTCCGCTGGTCCCACCAGCAGCCTTCGAAAGTGACGACAATTTCGCAGATCGCAGCCCCCCCAGGAACGGCGAGGTATCGCTCAGGTCCGCGCGATGCCCACGCTGGACCCCCCAGCAGCCCTCGAAAGTGGCGACAGGTTCGCAGATCGCAGCCCCCCAGGGACGGCGAGGTCTCGCTCAGGTCCGCGCGGTGCCTCACTCCGCTGGACCCCCCAGCAGCCCTCGAAAGTGGCGACAGCTTCGCAGATCGCAGCCCCCCAAGGACGGCGAGGTCTCGCTCAGGTCCGCGAGGTGCCTCACTCCGCTGGACCCCCCAGCAGCCCTCGAAAACGGCGACAGTTTCGCAGATCGCAGCCCCCCAGGGACGGCGAGGTCTCGCTCAGGTCCGCGCGGTGCCTCACTCCGCTGGACCCCCCAGCAGCCCTCGAAAGTGGCGACAACTTCGCAGATCGCAGCCCCCCAAGGACGGCGAGGTCTCGCTCAGGTCCGCGAGGTGCCTCACTCCGCTGGACCCACCAGCAGCCCTCGAAAACGGCGACAGTTTCGCAGATCGCAGCCCCCCAGGGACGGCGAGGTCTCGCTCAGGTCCGCGCGGTGCCTCACTCCGCTGGACCCACCAGCAGCCCTCGAAAGTGGCGACAGTTTCACAGATCGCAGCCCCCCCAGGCAAGGCAAGAGGAGACAAGAGGGAGGCGGGAGGCGGGAGGCGAGAGGAGGAGGAGGAGGAGGAGGAGGAGGAGGAGGAGGAGGAGGAGGACGAGGAGGAGGGACGCGACCACAGTGCTCTATTCAAAACGAATACCCAACCAAGGAGGCTTGGGAAATACACAGACATGCATTGGAACTGCGAGACACATCCCACGCTCCAAGGCGGCCCAACATGTACCCCACGACCCACGAGGAGGAGGAGGTGGAGGAGGAGGAGGAGGAGGAGAAGGAGGGGGAGGAGGAGGACGAGGACGAGGAGGAGGACTAGGAGGAGAAGGATGAGTAGGAGGACGAGGAGGACGAGGAGGAGGACGAGGAGGAGGAGGAGGACGACGACGAGGCGGAAAAGGAGGAGGAGAATCCTCCAAGGCGGCCCAAGCTGTACCCCAAAAGCCGCTCCACGACGACCCAAGATCGGCCGGCCAAACTCGGCGCAGACCATCGGCCCCCCCCCCCCCCCCACGCCTGAAACACACGCGGCTCCCCAGCAGCGCGCTGGGCTGCCCGGAACCCAGCCGCACCTTGTGCGGTACCCGCGGCGGCGACGACGACGACGACGACGACGACGACGACGATGACGAAAACGACGGCGGCGGCGGCGACGCCGGCTGCGACGGCGGCGCTTGCGCCGGTCGGCGGTGACGGACGGCAGACGGCGGACGGCGGCGACGGCGAGCGGAGCGACTCGGAGCGGGGCCGCTTGAGACAACGGCAGCTCGCGATCGATCCCCGGACCGCTCCAGGGGTCCAGAGGCATCGATTTCTCGAGCTGCGTCCAGCCGTTGCGACGAAGGCCCCCACCGAAGGCCAACTGCCGTTGTCTCAACTGGCCCTCCTGTGATCGTCGTCGTCGCCGTCGTCGCGGCGGTCAGTTTTCGAATCGTGAACTCGGCTCTCCCGCGGCCGCTCAGGACGACTCGGGCACCCCCTGAAGGCTCTCGGCGAAGCAGGAAGGGTTTGAACCGGACTGGTAACTGTGAACCGGCGGATCCTGCAACCGAACCGCCCAAGGAACCCAAACTGGACCGGCTGAAACTGAACCCGCCGGTTCGAAGCAAACCTGCCGATCGAAACCGGCCCGAACGGCCAACCCGAACCGGCGGAACCGAACCCGCCCCCAGATCCCGCACTCGGAGAACCCGACACCGCTCTGGGGGACCCCACGAAACGGCCAAAGAGGGCTCCAGGGCAGCGCAGGAGAGCTCCAGTTGGCCCGAAGGAGGCCCCCAAAAGGCTCCCCAAAGAGCTTCGCGACGCCCCCAAGCGGCTCCCCAAAGAGCTTCACTTCGCGACGCCCCCCGACGGAGGAGGAGGAGAAAGGAGGGAGGAGGGAGGAGGAGGGACGAGGGAGGGAGGGATGGAAGAGTATAGGAGTAGGAGTAGGAGGAGGCGGAGGAGGAGGAGAAGGACCTTCGCGACCCCCCCGGTCTGGACCTCCCAAACGGACCCCCGATATGATCATGGGTGGTGGTGACAGTACCGATATGATCATGGTGATGTTGGTGACTGGTGATGAAGATGATGAGTGTGATGACGATGAAATGATGATGAGGATGAGGATGAGGATGAGGATGAGGATGAGGATGATGATGATGATGATGATGATGATGATGATGATGATGAGGATGATGATGATGATTATGATCTGATGATGAAATTGATGATGACGATGATGATGATGATGGTGACGGTGATGACGATAATGATGATGCTGACGACGACAATTATGATGATGATGATGATGATGATGATGATAATGATAATGATAATGATAAGGACGATGATGATGACGACGACGACGACGATGACGATGACGATGATGATGATGATGATGATGATGATGATGATGATGATGATGATGATGCTGATGCTGATGCTGATGATGATGATGATGATGATGATGATGATGATGATGATGATGATGATGATGATGATGATGATGATGATGATGATGATGATGATGATGATGACGCGCATGCGTGCGCGGCGGTGGCAACCACCAGTGAAGGTCGGGAGAAACACCCCCCCTGCTATGGCCAGCCAAGAGGATGGAGGGCCCGTCGGCCCCAAGATCCCCATCGGCCCCAGGACATCTCGGGCGCGGCCCTGGCCCCCGCGACCCCTCGGCGACGACGACGACGACGAAACCTCCAGGAGCGTTGAAAATAATTCAAAATGAAAAACAAACCCATTCAAATCGGGGATCTCCTGACCCGGGTCAATCCAGACCCGGGTCAGCAGGAAACCAGAAAACTGTAATGCAGGAAAAAAAAACTGCAACGCAGGTCTTCGCAAACCCAGGTCAGCCAATATGCGCGGCCGCCTCGCGGCCACGAGCGGCTCGCAAACCCGGGTCAGCCAGAGGAGGTCTTCGCAGGATCCTGCAGGATCCGGTGCCCTGGCTGACCCCCGTTTGCATTGACCCCCGTGTCAAGGCTCTCGATCAAACGCTCCTCGTAAAAAACCGGGGTGGGCGGGCCTCCCCTCGGGCCCCGGAAACCGAAAACGCCAAACAATGAACGCGACGACGGCAAAAGCGGCGGCCAGCTTCCCCTCCCTTGCCTTCCCTCTTCCATCCCTCCCTCCCTCGCCCCCTCCCTTCCCCCCTCCCTCTCTCCCTCCCTCCCCTCCCTCCCTCCCCCCCTCCTTCCCTCCTTTCCCCCTTCCTTCCCTCCCCCTCCCCCTCCCGTTGTCCTTCCCTGCCCTTGCCCTTCCCTACTCCCGCTCTCCTTTCCTCATCGTCGTCGTCGCCGGCGGCGGCCGCGGCGAGAATCAAGCACCGAGGGTGATCTTGACGTCCGCCCGCTCTCGGCCCCGAAGCTTCTGGGACCCTCGGCTCCTACGCCTTGCGCTGGGGTCCACGACCCGTGAGATTCCATGTGTTTCTCCGGCCGCAGGCCTCCTGGGGAAGGGGGGGGACATGGATGCGAGAGGACTAGGAAAGCATGAAGATGCTCAGAGATCTGGTGTGGAGGGAGGAGTCGCGGCGCAAGACCTACGAAGGTGGCCAATCTGTGGCCGTCGTGCAAGCTACGGGCCGCCTCGCTCGGGCGGGCTTGCCTGGAGGGGTGGCAGGGGCACGAAACCTGCTGAATAGTCTTGTATGGTATGATATGGTCTGCTCGGGTCTGGTCTGGTGAACGATGGTATGGTAAGACATGGTATGGCAAGGTATGGACCGGTATGATACGGCATGGTATGGTATGAAACATACATATACACATATACTAGAACCACGTGCGCGCTTCGCGCGCGCTTAGGTTTTAGCACCCCCCAGCCCTTGAGAAGCTCACAGATGCACGCGTGCACATAAACACAAATGGCACGCACATGAATTGAAGAGGTAGTAATCGTGCGGACCGAACAGAGACGGAATTCAGACAAGGATACAAACAGACGCATTCAATGCGAATCCATGAGTGACATGTCATGCAATGGCTATGCAACGCATTGCAACTCAACGCAAACTACTGCAATGATGAATGGAAAACAAATGACATGCAATGCAACGCTCTACACATCAAACATTTGGAAGGGCCATTGGGAGGTCGGCTCGTGCGATCGTTGATCCGTCTTGTGCCACTCTTGGGGCTTCTCTAGACGCTCGTTGTTAGAATGTTGCGTGGCGTCGGCCGGAACTTCTGTTGGGGCCCTATCGTGGCTGAGTCGGGGTTGTCCTGGGGTGTGTGGGGGTTCAGTTCGAGCCCCAGAAAGCTCGTTCCGGGGAAGCCGTGGAGACCTCCAGGGGGCCATGGATCGTTCTGTGCACACCGTGCGACCCGCTGGCTTCCGCCAACCAAATCGTCCTCGATTTGCATCCGCCAGCTTCCGCGCGCCTTCGGCCGGCCTCCGCGGTGGGCGAGAGAAAGCGACTTCTGAATTCCTCGAAATCGAAAGACGTCTTTGAAACACTCTACGAAGGTTTTGTTGCAGGACTTCTGCGCCGAGGGATGGCCCTTGGGTATCGAACCACCGAAACGCGTGGCGCCAGAGTCGAGAATCCACGTAGAGCGCGATACTGGCCTGTTGGCATCCAGCCCATTCCGCCACCGCGCTTGGGTTGTGATGCAGAGGTCTCTTGGATGCCTGTTGGGGCTTCTTGCGAAGCCCCTGGGGAGCCTGCTGGAGGGAGTTTTGAAGCATAAGTGGGGTCGTTTAGGGGCCTCTTTCGGGCCTCTCGGAGCCTGAAGGCGACCGGGGGTCGTCCCCTTGGGGCGGATTGCTCGAAATCTGAATTCGAGTTTTTTTTTTTTTTTTCTCTCTCTCTCTCTCTCTCTCTCTTCTCTCTCTCTCTCTCTCTCTCCCTCTCTCTCTCTCTCTCTCCTGGGACCCTCTGCTGTTGGGGGTTCCTGGGGGCCTTCTTGGGCACCCCTAGAGTGTGTCCTGAAGCCCTCTGGGGCGATCTTCACGTCCCGAAGCCAACCTTCAGACCGGCTGACTACCTACCAGATCACCCCAACCCAACCCGAAGACCCGAATTTGACCCGAATTTCGGGTTGGGGGGGGGGGTACGGATACCATGTGCTTTCTCAACGTTCCCCGACCCCCCCCCCCCCACTGGAAATCGAGGATAAATTTGGGCCTTCGGGTTGGGTTGGGGTGGTTTGGTGGGTGGTGACCAGCTGGGGCGGCCTCGGGTCGCTCTCGGGACGCCTCCGCACGTTCTTGCCCTGGGGGCTGGGGGTCTCTGAATTTGGCTCCGCCATCCGCCGACCCCCAGAGGCGTGCGAGGCAAAGTGCGGCATACAGCCGCAGATCCTGAGCTGCCGATGCCCTCCTCCTCGCCCCGGCCCCCCCCGCTCTACGAGAGCTCTGTTCCTGGGGCCCCCCACCCCACAAGCTCTCCCCCCCAACCTACCGATGCCCCTCCTCCCCGCCCCGGCACCCCTACCCCACGACACAGGTTCCCGCCCAGATCCCGATCCTGTTCTAGCCACCTCGCCTGACCCCCGGCAGCCGCACCCCACGAGAGCTCTTTTCTGGGGACCCCCCCCCCACGCGACAATGTCTCGCCCGAAACCTACCCATACCCCCCTCCTCGCCCCAGCATCCCTACCCCACGAGAGCTCTGTTTTCGGGACCCCCACACGACAATTTCTCGTCCGAAACCTACCCATTTCCCCCTCGTCGCCCCAGCATCCCCACCCCACGAGAGCTCTGTTTTTGGGACCTCCCACCAACAATTGTTCGCCCGAAACCTACCCATACCCCCCTCCTCGCCCCGACATCCCCGCCCCACGAGTGTCTGTTCTTGGGACCCCCCGCGCGACAATTTTTCGCCCGAAACTACCCATGCCCTCCTCGTCGCCCCAGCATCCCCACCCCACGAGAGCTGTTTTTGGGACGCCCCACGCGACAATGTCTCGCCCGAAACCTACCCACACCTTCCCTCCTCGCCCCGGCATCCCCGCCCCACGAGATCGAGCTCTGTTCTCGGGGCCCCCACGCGACAATTTCTCGCCCGAAACCTACCCATACCCCCCTCCTCACTCCGGCATCCCCACCCCACGAGAGCTGTGTTCTTGGGACCCCCCCCACACGACAATTTCTCGCCCGAAACCTACCCGACCCCCCTCCTCGCCCGGGCATCCCCGCCCCACCAGAGCTCTGTTATCGGGGCTCCCCACACGCCCGAAACCTACCCACACCCGTATCCTCGCCCCGGCATCCCCGCCCCACGAGAGCTCTGTTCTTGGGACCCCACACACGACAATATATCCTCGCCCTGGCATCTCCGCCCCACGAGTGCTCTGTCCCTGGGACCTCCCACCAACACTTTCTCGAGCGAATCCTACCCATACCCCCCTCCTCACCCCAGCATCCCCGCCCCACGAGAGCTCAGTTCTTGGGGCCCCCCACGCGACAATGTCTCGCCCGAAACCTACCCATACCCCCCTCCTCGCTCAGCATCCCCACCCCACGAGAGCTCTGTTCTTGGGGCCCCCCACGCGACTATTTCTCGCCCGAAACCTACCCATGCCCCCCTCCTCGCCCCGACATCCCCCCCCCACGAGACCTCTGTTCTCGGGACCTCTCACGCGACACTTGCACGCCCGAGACCTACCCATGCCCCCCTCCTCGCCAGCTCTGTTCTCGGGACTCCCCACACAACAATTTCTCGCCCGAGCCCTACCTATACCCCCCTCGTCGCCCCGGCATCCCTACCCCATGAAAGCTCTGTTTTTGGGCCCCCCCACGCGACAATGCCTCGCCCGAAACCTACCCACGCCTCCCTCCTCGCCTCGACATCCCCTTCCCGCGAGAGCTCTGTTCTGCCCCCCCACGCGACACTTGCACGCCCGAAACCTACCCATGCCCCCCTCCTCCTCGCCCCGGCACCCGCGCCCCACGAGAGCTCTGTTTTTGGGACCCCCCACGCGACAGTGTCTCACCCGAAATCTACCCCGACCCCCCCCCCTCGCCCCGGCATCCCCGCCCACCGAGAGCTCAGTTCTTGGGCCCCCCCGCGCGACAATTTCTCGCTCGAGACCTACCCATGCCCCCCTCCTCGCCCCCGCACCCCCACCCCGCGAGAGCTCTGGCCTTGGGCCCCCCCCGCGCGACAATTTCTCGCCCGCGACGCACCCATATACCCCCCTCCTGTAGCGTTGTGGATCGAGTCCTCCTTTGCATCCGAGTCCTGGCCGAACTGATCTGGATCTTAAGCTCGAGCTGCCTGAGCACACAGTAGCTGCCCCAGGGCTAATTGGCAGGGGGTCATGCCAGGAGGACGCGCCGCGGAACGTCCCCTCCAGGCGACGTGCCAGGGCTGGTGAGATTCCCTGTGGGGCATCTGGAATCATGTTCGTGCCGCGAGGACGTTGTAGTGTTTTGTCACGGGCGGCGGGGATGTCAGCACATCCCGCCAGCCCTTTGGACGTCGGTGGTTTAGGGAGTTTCCTCTTCCACCCATCCATCCTTCTTCCCCTTCGGGGAGGGGTTACCCCTCCCCCTACCCCCTCCCCACGGACCTGGACAGAGGGTTCCGCGAGGTGTCGGAACGTCCAAAACGGCCTCGGCGAGGAAGCCAAAATCATTGGTTTTACTAGGGTTTGGGCATTTTGGCCTCCTGAGGGGGGGCACTAATTAGTGCCCCCCCTCCTGTGATCAATCTTACCCAAGATGGCCCAAAGATGGCCCCCAAGGGTGCCCCAAGTGGGCCCAAAGAGGTGGCCAGGAAACCCCAAGAGGCCCCCAGGATGCCCCCAAGAGGCCCCCAAGAGACCCCCAAGAGGCCCCAAGAGTCCCCCCAGAGCCACCCAAGATGCTCCAAGAGGCCTCGGCGAGAATGCCAAATCATTGATTTCACCAAGGTTTTAGCCACATGTTGGCCTCTTGGGGGGGGCACTGATTAAGATGCCTCCAAGAGCGCCTGGGAGAGCCCAAGATGACCTCCAAAATGGCTCAAGATATCCCAAGATGTCCCATAATGGCTCCCACGATGCTTCAAGATGCCCCAAGAACGCTCCAAGACGGCTCCCAGTGTCCCCAAGAGGCCCCGAAGAGGACAAAACCTGAGGAAATTCTATGTGTGTTGGCTGTCTCGCCTTTTCGCTTCCGATGGCCATCCGAGGCCTCAAGATGGCTCCAAGATGGCCCAAGAAGGCTCCAAGAACGGCTCCAGAGAGCCCCAAGGCCCCAAGAGCGCCTAAAAGCGCTCCAAGAGCGCCCCAAGAGGCGATTGCTTGGGCTCCCGAGGGGCAGCGCTAACAAATGCTCGCTTCTTGTTTGATCGATGTCCCCCAAGATGGCCCCAAGAGCGCTCCCAAGGCTCCCAAGAGCGCTTCAAGAGGGCCCCAAAAGGCGCCCAGGAGGCCCCAACAGGCGCCCAAGAGGCCTCCAAAATGCTCGCAAGAGACCCCCAAGAGGCCCCAAGAAGCTCTCCGAGGCACCCAAGACGCTCCAAGAGGCCTCTACTGGGGGACCCTTCCTCTGTGTGCTGCCCACTTCCCTGATCGAGGCAGTTCCTCTGGGCATCGTTTCTGGATGGGCTGGTGGGGTTACCTTTTTTGTCGCAGCCGCAAGCGAAGGCGCGGGCGGCGTCAAACGGGACGGGCGGGCCACGCGCGAACCTGATTGCCTAACGCGCTGGCAAGCCGGAGGCCTAAGCGGCACCTAGGCGGACCGGAAGCGAGAGGTGGTGCGGGCTGCACCTGCCAGGAAACAGGCTGGTGGGGTTACTTTTTTTGGTCAGCGGCTCCAAAGCAACGGACAGGGAGCGGAAGCGGCGTCCGGGGCACGGTACGGGGCTAATTGCGAGACAGTTCGCCGCCAGCCAGAGTCGGCGGACAGACAGCTCGCACCTGCACGCGCATTGAACAAAATGAACAGAATTCAAAAGGCGAAGGCACTAAGGCGCAGCAGCCCGCTGGTGGGGTTACTTTTTTTGATTTGCGGCCCGCAAGGAAAAGTCCAGAGGGCGGTCTGAGGCAAAGGTGCGCGATGCCAGAAGATTACCATGCAAAACCACTGGGCTGATGCCAGCGGGGGAGAAGCTGCCACAGGTGGACAACAGAAGATTACCAGCTGGTGGGGTCACGCGAAGCGTCTCGAATTCCTGCTGGAAGGCACTCCGAGGCTGGAAAGCCGCCGAGGACCGACGAGAACACCCGAAAACCTCGAACCCGCAGTCGGTCCTCCCCTGATGTCTCGACTCGCCCTCCCACGAGCGGCGGCGGCGAGGCCCGGGTGCAAGCGTCGGCGGCCGAGCTCACCCGCACCTCGCGCGCGACGGCTCGCTCGAGGCCGGTGCTGGTGATGGCGGCCACGAGGCGCGAGCCCTGGCCCCGCCACTCGCGGAGCGCGTCGATGCCCAGGAGCGCCTCGTCCTCGAGAGGGGGGAGGAGGACGCCGGGGGAGAAGGGACGAAGGGTGATGATGAGGATGATGAGGGCGCGGGCGTGGACGGTGGTGGTGAAGACGATGGCTATGACGACGCCGATGATGGTGGAAATGCTGTTGCTGATGGTACTACTGCTGCTGCTGATGGTGGTGAAGATGGTCGTGATGGCGAAGACACTTATGATGATGGTGGTGATGATGGTGCTGATGATGGTGCTGGTGGTGGGAATGGTGCTGACGATGCTTATCTCATTCTGCCCATGCTTGGGTGAGGGAAGTTCCTGTGGCTTCCTGGATAGATCTGCGCGAGCGCATCATATCTAGCCAGAACAGAGTTTTTCAAGATAGGCGGCGCGGCATCGGAGATGGCCTGCTCGGACAGAGTCCACGCCGAGCTCCCGAAGACGCTGCTGGCATCGGGCCTGCTCCGGAACAGGGACCAGACGATCGGCATGGTCAGCCTCATCAGGAGGCACAGCACGACTAGTACGTAATCCCCGACGTCTCGGGACCACCTGGGAGATCGGCGCGATCAGCGTCGTTCAAAGTAAGGCATCGGCGCGAAATCCTGCACAAGGTATATCTGCACGAACGGCCTCATCACCAGGCGCCAGAAGATGCCAAGAGACGCCCCGCCGTCGGGAGGAAGATGCGCGCGAAACGACTCCTCGACCACGGCAGTCATCTGGTCCAGCAGGCCCTGCAGGTCGAGAAACACAGGGAGAAGGTATATTTGCACGACCGAGCGGGTCCGCTGGAAAGGGTATATCTGCACGAACCGGTAGATCTGCACGAACAAGTCGACCAGGTAGATCTGCGTGAACAAATAGACTGGTACGAACAGGAAGCTCTGTACGAAAAGGTAGCCCTGCACAAACAGGACGATCCGTACGAACAAATATATCCGCACGAACAGGTAGATCAGCACGAACAGTAGATAGGCACAAACAAGTAGATCTGCACGATCACGTAGATCAGGAGGAGCCGCGCGAATAGGTAGATCTGCGCGAACAGGAAGAACTGCACCATGCATACCTGCGCGAACAGCCTCATCATCAGGCGCACGAAACTCACCGTCATCATGGAACCATTCAACGTGGCCGCCAAGCGACGCCCCACTGTCGTCAGGACGATGCGCGCGAAAGGACTCCTCGATCAAGGCAGTCGCCTGGTCCAGCGAGCCCTGGAGAAACGGTGGGGCAACAGCAGGAAAAGGTAGATCTGCTCGAACGCGCGGATCCGCATGAACGGTAGATCTGCCCGAACCGGTAGGTCTGCAAAAACAAGTAAATCAGGTAGATCTGCACATACAGGTAGATCGGCACGAAGAGGTAGCTCTGCACGAACAGGTAGTTCTGCGCGAACTGGAGGATCCACGCGAACCGGCAAATTTGCACGAACATGTAGATAAGCACGAAGAGGTAACTAGATCTAGGAGATCTGCACGAAGAGGTAGATCTGGAGGAGCTGGTAGAATTTCACGAACAGATAGATCGGCACGAGCTGGTATATTTGCACGAGAAGATAGATCGGGTGGATCCGCACAAACAAGTATATGTGCAAGAGCAAGAAGAACATCATCCCTAGGCGCGAAGGTCTCCGCGCCCGACTTGAAAATGCGGAAAGGAGGCACCGCGGGTAGACATCACTGTGTGTCCTTCGGGCCTTGGCAATAGGGTCGAAGCCATACCCACCCGATGACGCCTGCGACCACGGATTGCCCCCCGCGGCGCGCGAACGGTCAGCTACGCCATCACTCCGAGACCGATGACGCTGAAATCGCCGGCCGTGATGGTGGTCATCATCTTCGTCGTGCTCATCATAGCCAGGAGAGCTACCATGCCCACCGCCACCAAGACCCACACCAAAATACACGGCCCCGTCTGGTAGAACAGAAATCCAACGACAAATTTCCGTGGTCCCACTTGAATGACGGTGGCCGCGATCAACGGCTGGACGCCAGGGCACAACATACATGCGCAAGATGATCAGTGATGCGCAGCTGCAGCATCTGGGTCGTGGCCCAGGGCTCCAGCACACGACGAATCAGGATCGTGATGCAAGCACAACCTGCAGCCTGGGCGGCCCTAGAAGCAAGGTGCACCGAGAAGCCCTGGGCGATCGGCCTTCGCACCCAGCCAATTCTATCAGCAACGACCATGAGCACTGGAATGGACGGGACGCCAGACGCAGGGGGCGCAGGATTCTTGGGCCAAAGCGGCGATGATGATATTGATGCTGATGCTGATGCTGATGCTGATGCTGATGATGATGACGACGACGACGTTGATGATAATGATGATGACGGCGATGATGATGATGATGCTGGTGATGAGATTATGGTGATGGTGATGGTGATGGTGATGGTGATGGTGATGGTGATGATGATGATGATGATGATGATGATGATGATGATGATGATGATGATGATGATTGCGATTATTATGATGCTGATGATGCTGATGATGCTGATGATGGCGACGACGATGACGATGACATGTCCTGAGGAGGACTGCACCTACACGATGCACAATCAATGTTTGTCTCTCGTCTCTCTCGTTCACTTTCTCCCTTTCTCCCTTCCCGTCTTTCTCCCAAGTCGGCACCGGACACTCTCATGCCGTCACAAGCCGAGTCGAGTCGAAGAGGGCGAGGCCGAGGAGGAGGAGGACGAGGGCGAGGACGGGGATGGCGGCGAGGACGACGGCCAACGGAGGAAGGACCGGAAGGACAGGGAGGAAGGATGGGGAATGGGCGGGAATTGGGTTCGGTTCGGTTCGGAGGCCGATGGGAACCCCGTCAACCCTGGGCGCCTCTGATCACAACCACAGGCTGCAGGAACGGGGCTCCGCTTGTTGGGAGATCAGCCCTGGAGCAGTCGAGCCGAGCACTTCGGGTCACACCTCGGGCCTCTGGCGGCCGCTTCGGCGAGGCGCAGCTGCTGGAAAGCACCCCGAGGCAGGACGATCTCCAGGAGCCGACGAGATCGTCCGAAAACCTCGAACCTCGAACCTCGCCGACGCCGCGCAAGACGACCCCTCGCGGACGCCGCCGACCACGACGACGACGCCTCGCCGACGCCGCCGACGCCTCGTCGACGCCGCCAGCCACGACAACGACGCCTCGCCGCCGACGCCTCGCCGACGCCTCGCGGACGGAATGATCATGAGATCCGACGTTGCAACAAAAATACAACATCGTGCGCAATCACGACCGCAGCCCAGGACACCATCTCTCTGCGGCATTTTTCGAAGCGGATTGACCTGCGGCGTTTTCGAAGCAAAAACGACCGTAGTGAACAAATTGCAACGCCAGGATCTGAGGGGACCTGCACGACCGGCACGACTTGACGGCGCGCACAGGGGGGGGAGGGCGCACGGAGAGAGGGAAAGGCTCCTTTGAAGGAGGCTGCTCCTCAGAAGGCGCCGGCCCTACATCTACAGACGAGGCCCGCGCCTTCCAAGAACCAGAGGTGCTTCTGAGCCTCAGAAGCGCCCCTCAGAAGGGGGGGGGCTCCTCAGAGGAACCTCCCCCCCCCCGCTCCTCCGCAGGTCTTCGCCAGCCCTTCGGACCCCCCTCGCCTCGGGGATGTTCCCCAGCACCCGCGCATCGCCGAGTGCCTTCCCCACAGGTGCCCGACATCGCCCCGAGCGGCCGCTGGGGACACGAGCTGCGGCCCGAAAACCAAACCTGGAGGACCAAAGAGAACCAAGACCGCAACTCCCAGGGCCTCCCTCGGGGAGCATCCTGACCAGAATTCCGAAGCGAGTCCAGCGGTGGCGACGGGGGCCTCTCAGGAGGCCCAGAAAGAAATGAAACTGTGGAAGGGTAGCGGTTTGGGTACCTTTCCCTGAGATCCGACGTAGCGCGAAATTGCAACGCCACCTTTCTGCGTAATTTTTTGAACCGGATCGATCTGCGAGGGTCCCGGGGCCCGAAAAAAGGCGAAAACGCCAGGCTCTAAACAATCAGGACGCCAAGATCTCTGGGTTCCCTCCTCTGAAGACCTGGAGCCGCGGCCGACCGACGGCAGCAGCATGGCGTGCATATTGCGACTTCGTGTGGACTTTTTCGCGAGATGATCCGAGATGCTCCTCGTCGAGAAAAACTGCACACGTCCGAGCGACGCCATGGCCGACCGACGGCCCGACCGCGTTGCGCCTGCGGGCTGGCATAGGGGGGGGCTGGCATAGGGGGGGGAACGTCGACCTGGAATCGGTGATACATCGCCGATAAATCGGCGACAGGCCCCGATAGTGAAATCCAGGCCCCCGATAGTGAAATCGCACGTTCCTGGGCAGGGTGGAGGCTATCGGGCGCCCTATCGGCGACCAATGGGCGAGAGAGGGTCGATGCATCCCCCCCTATGCCCAGACCCCCTACCATTGCCCCGGATCCTGGAGGGGCCGTGTCCAGGATCTGGCGGCGCTCCCCGGGAAGGAGGGGTAGGAGAAGGAGGAGGAGGAGGAGGAGGAGGAGGAGGAGGAGGAGAAGGAGGACAAGGAGGAGGAGGAGGAGGACGAGAAAAAGGATGAGGGGAAGGAGGAGGAGGAGGAGGAGGAGGAGGTGGTGGTGGGGGAGGGAGGAGGAGGAGGAGGAGGAGGAGGCAGGAGGAGGAGGAGGAGGAGGAGGGGAGAAAGGAGGAGAAAGAGGATGGGGGGAAGGAGTGAGAAGGAAGAGAGAGAGGAGGAGGAGGAGGAGGAAGGGAGAGAAGGAGAAAGAAGCAAGCAGGAGGAGGAGGAGGATGGAGGAGGCGGAGAAGAGGAAGGAGGAGGAGGAGGAACAGAAAGAGGAGGAGGGGAGGAGGAAGGAGGAGGGGAGGAGAGGAGGCGGAGGGGGGTGAGGAGAGGAGGAGGAGGAGGAGGGAGAGGAAGAGGGAGGAGGAGGAGGAGGAGAGGAGGAGGAGGAGGAGAGGAATAGGAGGAGGAGGATGAGATAGAGGGGGGGAGGAGAAGGAGGAGAGAAGGAGGAGGAGGGAGGAGGAGGAGGACGGAGAAATATGAAAAAGAAACAGGGGGAGGAGGAGGAGGAGGAGGAGGAGGAGGAGGAGGAGGAGA